TGGCGATGGGTGGTGATGACTAGCTGCCTTCCCTCTAACCTTTCACTGCTAAATCAGGGATGGCTAGTGGAGATAGCCCTCGTGTAGCTTTGCATGAAATTCAAAACAAACCAACCCCTTTTTTTTTGTTTTCTTCCTTTACATTTGTATTTTCTGAATAAAGTGATTGTTATTTATCATCATAGTTTGCAATGATGTTGTCTAGTATGATTTAACATGATTCTCTAGATATTTGGATTTAATAGGCAGCTTTTTTTTGCATTCCATCATAGATTCAAAAGGTTTTGAAAAAAAATGTAGAATTACTTATGTATATTAAATTGCTCTTTTTAATTAAAGTTTTATTTGAATACAGAAATATTAAACATTTAAAAGTTTTGTTTATATTGGGACTGCAAAATATGGTTTTCTTGTAAAAATATTTGTTTGAAATTGCACATAATAGTTTTTTTTTCTCTGTAATGGTTGTTAAATATGACATTACAGGTCTTCAAAAAAGCTTTTATGAATTGGCTGTGTCTGGTTTCTGTCTAAGAGGAGTGATTATGAAATGAAGAAATAAGTTTAATATGAGAGTTCTGGATGGTCCAAGAACAGAAGTTGTTGCGAGGATTGATATAAGGATCATTGAACATATTTAAAGAAAGTAACTTGTATGTTGGACTAACCTGTTAGTAGTATTGTTAGAAAATTTCAACTATTAAATTGAGTTTTTAGTTTTGGTATCTTCAGGGAACCTCAATGGTTAGACTGAGGAGGCAATCAGAATCATCCTTATGGTTTAAACACAGGATTGGTTGGATTATTGCTTCAAGGCTTCACAAGATTTACAGATTCAATGAAACTGATTTCCAAAGTCAATTCTTAAGAAAATATTTGAAAGGAAATATTCTAATGCTACAAACATTACTTTATTGTTCTGGGGACTATAGCATAAAGAGGAAGAAAGAAATGCATTTATGAATGAAATGGTGAAGACCCATAAGTATGGTAATATTTATAGTAGGAATGCAATACAAATTAAAATCCCAAACACACTGCAAACAGCATGTAAACAAAACTTTATAAGCACTTTACACACACTGTTGAGTAGTAGGCAAACCAACTGTAGAGTAATAAGCCACCAAAGCACTTTAGAAAGTCGGTAGAGTAAAAACAAAATTTCACAAAAACCACAAATTTATCAATCTAACTATCTGACTGACTGACTAATGTTATTGCAAAGGCATAGCTCTCTCCTGCCTTCACCTTATGCAAATCTAAATACACACGATTGAATTATGCTACCTTGGCCAAAAGTGTTTTGCTTGTAACCTTGGTAATAACAATAACCATTTTGCAACACTACTAATGAGCTAACAATACACTAGTAGCCATATTCTATTATTACGAGCATGCTCTGTGAGTTGCCAAGTAACAACCTGCTCTCATATCATGTGCAGGTGCATGATTGCTTATATGCACGTGCAGTGCGATCAGCCTGCAGTTGTATCAGCTAGATAGAAAAACATGCACTACGTAGATTCTCTAGATCTAGGTTCTATCTAAAATATTATGTTAATAGCCTTGAAAGTCTTTGTCCTAGTGAAGAGATCATTACTGCAAGAATAGAGATAAGGTTAAAAACAGTAATGCTGAATATACAAAACAAGCCTTAACCATTAATCCAGTCAAAGAAAAGGGCAGCCTAGAAATGTCAAGAGATAACTGTAATAAAAGCTATGAGAAGGATAGGCCTAGAGCCCAGTCACTCTTGAGACTTAGTACCAAACAAAGCTATGAGATAATCTAAAACATTTCTAATTAAAAGAATTAGAGGAAGAAGGAATGGGAGCACCAAATAGTAAGGAAACTGGTAGGAATGAGCAGGATAACATTATAACACTTGGTGCAACCTCAAAGTGGCTGTGGCCATTGTTCTGCCCATTCTTACTTCATGTTTTACTTTGGATTTTGATTCAATTATATACTTGAATTGAGTTTTATCAGTAGCTAATCCTTTCTAAATACTCAACAAATTAAAAAATTTCAAAAATCAGTGGTTTTGACTACTTTTTTTGGCCCACCACTTACCAGTCAGCTAGTTATAATGTCTCCCATAAGCAACTGTGACTATCAAAACTTCATGTCTCACTTCTGTCATCAAACACCCCTCCTTATTAATGTCATGCATTTCGTTAGGGTTGCGTAATTTGATTACATATGTGTATCTGTACTTGGTTGCTGAAACAAAGTTTACAATAGAGAAATTTAGCTATATACACCTTTCATTTTGTTTGAACAATTGCCAAGTTTTCTGGAATAAATGTGTATGTATTACATGTATTATGTATGCATACATGTGAAATAATTTTGTCTTCAGTCATATCGTACCATTGTAGAATTCCCATCATTGAAATAATTATATTCAGAAAGTAATCTGTAAATGATTATGAAACATAGAAAAAACTAAAAAATTTATGTGAAACATGACTATTGTACCTTACTAACCATGAACAATGACTAAACTTTTAACAGTATAGATACAATACAACTTTAACAATATTTTTTCCTTTACTTGTAACATTAATTTATCTATTTATATCTATAATTATTATTAAATAGAATATTAACTTGAACATACAAAATGCAAAAATCTAGTCCTTCCATTTGGTTACAAGTTTTGGTTGTAAGTTTGTCAAAGCAGTAAAAATAATGAGGATGTTACTTGCATAGTCTATCAGATACAGGAATTGTCCTTTAGAATCCTGAACACTTATTCAAATTGTTCTTTCAATGTGAGTTCTGACACTTGCAAGTTGTCTAGAATATTCAATATCCTTTGCATTTAATTGTTATTTACCTCTTATAATTTTTTTAAAAGTTTTAGAAAGGTAAGAATGGATCCATATATATATATATATATATATATACGGAACCTAGTTAGCTATAGTAATATAGAAAGTTTTAATGCTACATAAAAAAATCGAAACAAGAAAGTAAAAAACTGCAAAACTGAGTTACTTAAAAGTTAAATGTTTTTATCCCCACTTTGACAAACCACTGTAATTATGCTAGTCTGGACCAGAGTAGGGATAAAGTTTTTGAATTTTAAGGAACTCAGTTTTTAAAGTTTTAACTTTCTTGTTTCAATACTTTTTGTAGCATTAAAACTTTCTATATTACTATAGCTAACTAGGTTACCCATATATCGATCCCTACTTGTATTTATAAAATGTTACATTTTTTATATTATACTTATTTGTTTCATTTTTACTAGTTATATTTTTGTGTGCCAGCAATATCAAGCGTGGGGCGCGCGTACACCCAATTCGATTTTATTACTCATCAGGATTTCTACCAACCTACCCTCAAATCTAATTATATACCCAGGTGAGCGCATCGTCCGTGTATATATATATACATACTAGTATCCCTTTCGGTACAAGAAATGAATCATTACGACCCAGACGGAAGAGTTCTGTGAAAGAATTATGAAGTTCATTTTTCTGGAAGAGTCACTTAGATGAAAATTCGTTGAAATAGTGAAATGTTGATTCACTCCATAAACACGTATATAGGCCGTTTAGATGGCTTTATAAGTTCAATAAGCTTTAGTTTTGCTCAGCCAATACTGTGAAACAGTCATTTTTTAATATTCAGACATTTTAAAGATGGTTTTAAACGGGCGATTTTTATGGCCGCCATTTTGTTTCATCACGAACCCAAATATTAAATACTAACCTACTTAATGATTAGGTATAGCTACAATAGCTCACAGTAAGAAAGCCTCGATCGGCCATAACCTGATCCCTATATTAAATTTTATTTAGGAAACCAGATTTCTTTGTGAGCTAGCTATCAGATATATGTCTATCCCATGCTTTAGACATAAATAAAACTGCACCACTAGGGGTGATGCCTGTTAAATACTTTATTATGTTGTAATGCTTACAGTTGGTGTATGTTATAACTCTGCTATTTAATTGCTTTGGACATTCAGTGAAGGTTTCAGAACAGTCATATTATACCTTGACATTTGGAATATAACTTTTTGAAAGGTTTTTGATAAATTTCGACTTACTTCTTAAGAAGGCCAGTGAATTATAATTTTCAGATTTGTAGCTATAATGGGCAAACCAAATTTAAGAATTGTTGATACATTCTGAGATGGCACTTTGAACATAATTTCCAAGTCAGAGTTTAGTAAATTTAGTTTCAGTTTAACAAAGATAACAAAACTTGATCTGAGATAATTTAAAATAAGGCTTAAGAGGAGACTGCAAATGTAATATCTGTTTGAAAGCAGTTGGATGTAGAGTTGTACAAGTCTTAATATTAATAACGCTATGTTTTCATTTAAGGATATCAACACTAAAATAATTATCTTTTATACATAATTTTATTTCCTTCTGCTGCCTCTGTTGTTCTTGAAGCAGCTTCTTATTCTCTACATGGAAGTTGTCATTTGTGGATAAAATATTTAGTTCATTGTTTGCTGCTTGGGCTGTATTTTCACCTGCAAAGAGTGGAAGTTTGAAAACTGTTTTATTAGATTAAACTGAAAGTTTATCAACATTTTAACAGCACAAATAATGGAAGAACACCAAAAAGAATAATTTTATAAGGTACACAAGGGAATATCCATTCACTATGGAAGTATGATGTTAGTTGTGTATTTTTGTAGCTACTGGAAGTTGAAAGATGTATACTTCTATAACAATTATATATTGTATGATTGTGTGCGCGTCACTACCTTTAGCATACCCTCCTATCTACCTAAGTAGTTTAACCTAAGTCGTGTTTTTCTAGTTGCTTCTAAGAAATGGTCATTTCATGCAAGTTTTTTTTTTTTATTGAAGGTTATTCCGAGGAATTTAATGTTTTATTTTAAATAAAGTTAATTTGTAAAGCTTAATACTGAGATTGCGTGTTTTACATATATTTCTTTTGAACGCTCTGCGGAGCATGATCGCTTGGGTTTTGGATGGATATATTTAAGACT